TGCGCTGTCGGGCACCAGCAGATAATAAAACATGATTAAAAAGCTCCTGTTATATCAGCCCATCCCCTCGGCGAGGAAAACAGAAATGCTCGACTTCTCCGAATCAAACAAGAAAACAGTTCAGGATGAATAGAAGGTGGAAAATTTAAGGAATTCAGCTGCTCTGAATTTCCTTTGGTTTGTACGGGCCGTTATTTCAGAAGGTACGGTTCCGTCTACCAATGGGAGCAAAAAACCACTTGACAATTTCACCCACTTCGGCGGTCCTACTTGGATCGTCCAGTTTACTTGGCTCGGCCCTCTATGGCCCTTCTATTTCATGTAATAAGAAGCCATTACGGGTAGGACACTGGCACCAAGGGGGAAGTGCTAAGCACCGAATACAGTTTTTCAAGAAGTGCAAAATTCAGAGCCTAAACAAGAAACTTAAGCAAATTGAAGTAACAGGAGGCAAAGAGACAGAAGCAACGGTCGTTAACAGCCAGGTTTTGCTAAGCAAGCTAAAATAATTTGGTGCGATAAGAATTTCTCGATCCAAAAAGAATACAAAACACAAACCTTTTCTTTGATGTTGTCGCAATCAAGCAAAAAGTATCCAATAAGACGGAGTTTTGATGCACCGGAAATGCCCATAGCGAGTGTTGCCGAAAGAAAAGCCTAAAACACATTTTGTTCTGTCACCACAGCTATCATTTCTTATATTTTATCACATTTTTCTGGCACCTCCCTACTAGCACAAGCGCTTTTCTGGTGGCGCTCTTCGGTTTTTCAACATCTTTTACACCATATTTACCATTTTTGATAATTCACTTCTCTCCGCTACAAAAACTTCCACCTCTGACAGAAAACTCGCCGTCCATCTATGCTGGCTTCTTTTTCCTATATCCGATCTTTTATTACATCCACTACGACCGGTGCGGCCCTCCAAAACTATCGAAGCGGATGCCAAACATAAATGTGGGCCCCGTCCAGCTATTTCATCCATTCTTGCATAACATGTTTTCGTAGGCGGATCTAGGATGGACTCCTGGAAGGGGAGGGCTGGGGGGAGAGTTGCGCTCCTGAGGGGAGGGGAGGGAGGGGAGAAGGAGGGGGAGGAGGAAGAATAGTCCCTCCCCTGCCGCCCACCCATCCTGGAACTATGCAAAAACTAGGAACAGAGTTGTAACACACTGCTACTTAGAGTTACTTTAGACTCTAGTTTAATTTTAGTTGTAAGTCCGGACTTTTGCAGCACTGGTACCTGTGCAGCTGGATCGGCCTATGCGTGTTTTTATATTAGTACTCGCCGCTTTAACTA